TGTGCCAGGCCGAGAGTTATAAAGCTTTTTGTCTCATCCATTGGATCCACTTGTCTAATGGCTCTTCATACATTCGGGTCTGGTTCAAATCGGACGATGAGCTACCCTTGCTTGCCGTACGTAGACCCACGCTTACGGTGGCATAATCTGTCTTACGCCGTATTTCATTCAAATTTATTAAGTGTTTTATACATAAAAAACCAACAACATTACAGTACATTTATTTATCTATGCATAGAAACTTTCGCATTTGTTACATTGGTATTTGTCGGATTCGTGATCCTTCAAAAGTAACTTAAAATTGCAGAATATTTGTTTTCATGAAATAGGGTGGCAAACTAGCATACATATTGTCTGATAGTAAGCAATCTTCGCTGTCAGTGGACAGTAGGTGTGTTGCCGCACTTTTATTGATTGGCAATGTCATGCCAGCTTTATTTGAGCACGTGGAATCACTTCAGTGGAGCCTACTTTTCGCATCAAAGCATGGCTTTTCCAAACCCTATACTTAAACAATCTCCATAATAACATATATATCGTTTGCTACCAAAAATTCAATTACGCAATGCTTAAACCAATTCGTAATACAAATCAGATCGGCAAATATTCACTTTTCATTTCATATCTCTGCATCATGGCGTATTCTTAGAATTTTTACGCAACAAAAGTCATCGACCGATGAAATCTTGGCTGGCAATAGTGAAATGATTTGACGGCCACAGAATTATACATGTTTTCAAGGTTATTCAAGATTTATTTGGCAGCCAGAAAACAATAGTAAAATAGGAAGGGACAGTGTCATCAATTGTAGGAACGTGTGACAGAAAATATCCTATTTATAGACAAGATAAAAATTCTTTTTAAAGACTCTTTTCTCTTTTGGACGTGGTCTTTGGTTCGATCAATTATTGTTATGGATTTTCATGTTGTTCTATTCGAATCTATTATATCTGCTTCACAATATCTAGATACCCATCATATACTTGATAAATTTGATGTAGCACATAAGTTTATTAAGAACTTGGTGCTGGTGTAACGGACGCTGCTTTCTTAAGAACGATTTGAAAAAGTCCTATTTCTATAGAAACGGCCTTTTTAATTTTGATTCTTAGACTTCGTTTCTGTGTATTTCATTAAAGACTGAAATAGTCATAATAGTGTATTTTATAATTGAAAAAGTATAACGTATACGTTTTGCAGTACTTTTATCATCAACATCATCATTATAATACACTACATCTGTTGCCCCAATTAATTTCAATTATCTATTTCATAATGTTTTAATGGAATGCGTGCTATTATAATTTCGTTTTAAATGCATAACTTCATCGCTAGTTTGTACAATGACACGCTATTCTCACGTTATCGAGTTTGTTAAGAAACAATGATGGAATGATTTTCGGATTGATGGTCACTATTAACGATTGCAGAATTCTTTTCTAGTTACAAGTCGAAGAAATAAATTTTGCGTTTTCTGTTCTGAATTTGAACTTGGTGTATGATATAGACTATATTTTATTTATAAATAATACTTTTTTAATGTTTTCAAGGACAGAGAGAATAGGTTGCTTATGGGTAGGTGTGCTCCAGCGTAGGTACATTGCTTACCAATAGCCAGACGCTTCGACCTTTTTCGAATAAAAAAAACCTTATCATTCATTTTTATGAAGCATCGCAGGTCGGCAAATATGTCAACGGTTCACCAGCCTGATGGTAAGCAAGTGTGGGAGAGCCATGTTTCGGCTGGAATGGGTCGGCTCGACCGGAGTGATACCACGGCCTCACAGAAAACCGGCGTGAACCCGCTGCTCAGCTCCATTTGTACATTGTAGCTTTCTATCAGTGAAAGAATTTTCACAATACGACCAGCGGTTCCAAAGATTACCCCCTACATACAAACTTACAAATTTTACCTCTTTATAATATTAGTGTAGATTACACCCTAAAAAGTCATAATTAATCTTTTATTGATTAAGTTTAGTATACAGAACTTCTCTAAGAGACTTTCTGAAGAAACATATGATGTTCCGTTAGTTTTATAACAAATCCTGGACACCCTACACATTGTGTACATTGGAACGTTTTACGGTAAGCGCTGAAAAATACGTTTGAAACATTTTAAAGACACGTTGAAAGATTTCCTTAAGTGGGTCTTCGGACGGCTTTCATGATTTAAAAATGAAATTTACAGCGGTTTCAAGACGGTTGTATGGACTGGAAGTATTATGTGAGAGTGAGATGGAAAATGATACTTTATATTTTTATGACTGAAAATAAAAATATTACTGAAATTAAAATTGTTGATTGTAAAAAACAGTATCGTTACTATTTGTATTTTCTCTTGCATCGTAGTTTTGTTAAAAATCACATATTTAAATTTGAATGGTACCCACGATACTTCTTTTGTTTTGGTTATTCAAATCATTGCGTCAATAAATTGTGCATCTTAAATAATGTGCTAATAAAATAAATCAAAAGATATATTCATCATCATCATCATAATTATCATTATCATCGTCCTATAAGTGCCACTGCTGAGTAAAGACCTCTTCTTACTCAGAGAAGGTTTGTGCATTGATCACCACGATCGCTGTAAGATGGATTGGTTATTTCAAACTTATAATTAGAAATTATGAGTCTAGGTTTCCTCTCGACTTTAATACAGTTAAAAGTACATATAATGTAGAAAAAGTCATATTGGTACTTGTCAGGTTTTCAAAACACTCTCTCGTGTATGAGAAGCAGCAGCCATAATCACCATGCTACCACGACGTTCTTCAAAGATATATGGAAAAAAGACAATTAATTCATTAAACCCCAACCTATTGTAAAGACATTCTGTCTCTAATTACCACGATTGCAAGGTTAAATAACATTCTACTAGAAAACTACTACATACTAACGTTAACATACAGAGTTCAGTAAATTACAACCTAAATATTTAAACTTCACGGAAAACTAACAAGAAAATAACGTCAGTACTCACAACGGCTACAAACAAAAATTGTAGCTTAACTTCCAACTCTAATTGGCTCCCAAGTAATTATCAGTTCGTTCTTATTAATTATTTATTTGTTTAAATTATAAAGTGAACCGTAAACTTTACTGTTAGATGAAAGGTTTTCGTTTGGTGTTTGGCGGTTTTCAGATGAATATTTCATCTGATCCGGTCGGAAACATTCATTTATTATTTGGTTCGGAATATCTTTGGCTAACTCGGTGGTTGGTTGGACAGTGGCGATTTCTGATAAATCTATGCATATTGTTAGCTATATACTCTGAAGTGTCTGTTAAGCATGGGAATTAAAAGCATGGTAACTCTTTATGTTAAGTTATTTCAGTAGTTAGTCACCATAAAGGATTGTGTAGGGAAATCACGTCAAATAAATTCGTCATGACTCTCTGTCTTTCCGTATTTAAAATTAAATTAGTAAAAAACTGAACTAGTAAAAGGCATGTTAAAACTTGGTACGAATATGTATTGTATAAATTGCAATACGATTTCAAAACAAAAATAGAGAAAGAAATCAATAAATTTTGAGATACCTCATACTTGGAATTGACACACAAAAAACAAGAGGTTTAAAATAGATCATAAAATAGAGATAGAAATCGTAAAATTATCTGACATGCTTCTCGATTGCGCATATGCAAGCGTATTAATGTCGCCAAGCCTTGAGCAGGAGAACAACAGTAAGTGTCTGACACTCTCTCTCGCGTCGCTCAGGGAGGGACAAATAACGTAACATGTTCCACGCTCAAAAAAATTTTTTTTATTATTTAGACCACACATTCTGTCCCACAAAACTTTAAGAACTTAACTTATGACATATGAAATAAATTCTTCACTTCAAAATCAAATAAAAATATTCTCTCAAGTCCACTTAAAGAGTACCAATCAATTGTTCTCAATTGAAATAAATCCAACTGTGCCCATTACAATGGAATCCTGCAAAATGCCTCTGTCAGCTTATTTAATAAAATCTCTCAGTTAAAACGCTGCATCGCCTTTCGTCGTAAATTTATTAGCTTTAGTTCTGTCTAGAGGAATGTTAATGAGGATTATGAGTCTAATTATTTCCCTTTTTGCTTAATCATTGATAGATTTTACAATGGCTGCATTTATTTGTATTTTTGTTCTTTGTTCGTTCTTCAGTTACTTTTAAACGATTAGTTACATTTCCATTTTAATTTCAGCTGGTAGTTCTTCTTTGATAGGAAATCAGCATAGATCACTTAATGGTAAACAATCAGCGCTGCTTATGTACACCCATAATCCCATAGGAATTGCAAGGCAGTTCAGTCAGACGGCCTTTAAAGGGTTTGAGATTAGATGATTGGGGGATCTGGAGATTGGGAATAGGGAAGAGGATTACGACCATACACTTTTGGGCCTTCTATAACCTCACTTACAAATACTCTTATAATGTTTCGCTATGTTTTGTCGATAATGACAAATTCAAGTGTGAAAGAGCCATGCTTCGGCACGAATGGGTCGACTCGACCAGTGATGCGACGGCCTTACAGAAAATCGGCGTGAAACAATCATAGGGTTGTGTTTCGCCGTGTGAATTTGGTTACTGGAGGCCCAATCCTTTCCCTTCCCTAATCCCTAAATCTCCAAATCCCTAATCCCTAAATGGTCGGCAACGCACTCGTAACTCCTCCATTGTGGGTTTCCATGGGCGGCGATAATTGCTTACCATAGGGTAATCCGTGTGCTTGCTATTACATAAAAAATTATATAAGGATATCATTCGGTAAATCTAGCAATTAAATACTTAGGTGTAAACTAATGCCTTAAGTCTTCTTGAGTCCAAATAACGAAAAAGGTTTCTGTCCTACTCTTACACGAGACTCGAACATATTTAAGTGACAAAAATAAATATCACATTTGGCATTTACTTGCAAAAGATAAAAGGGAACTTGCAAAGCGAAATATTTATTTATGCATTTTAGTTTCGATATTTTAGTACTTAATGAAATTATTTTTGTTTCAGGAGACTACTCACTCGATATCAGGGATGTGAGTCTAGAAGATGACGGACTGTATCAATGTCAAGTTAGCTCCGGGCTAAATAGTAAGTGGAGAAACCATTAAAAATATTTATTATTATTTTTTGGAAGTGCTTATTCTGTTCAATCCGAACTATGTATATTCGGCTTTGGTTGATTTTTAACATGGTACAACTGTAGTAAATAAAGAAATATTTTATTTTCTTTTTTGACCTCAATTCTATTCCACAAGCTTGTTATAGGGGATTTCTCAATACATTTAATGGAATTTTGTCTTCGGTCCTGTTCGCCTTGTAGCGTATCTGCGTCAGTTTTTAGCAAGTAAAAATTACTTAGCAGCCTAGTCTACGATAGGTTTTAACCAAACGCGTTAGGGGACTGACTCTTTAGAGAAATAGGTACTGAAAGAACTTATTTTGACATTATACAATGTTATCACAATATGAATACACAAAAGTACTATTATATGTTTTTCTTTTCCGATTATCATATTAATATGTACATATGTACCTAGCAATAAGCTTCTCAACACGAGTAATAGAAGGACACAATTATATTTGTTTCAATAACTAGGTCATACTATCAAGAAACTTATTGCTTTACTTAAAGAAATAATGAGAAATATTCTCAAGATATTACTTAAATAAAATAGATATATTTGTGTAACTAAGTCCATATTCAGAGTAATTGGCTGGCTTAAAGAAATATTTGTATTTGATCCATATTGAAGAATTTCGTTTGTCATTGTCTATTATAAATCAGATCAGAGAGATCATAGAAATATCAAAGTCTGGCGTGATATTAGATAGTTGGATTTAGAACTTCTCTAAAATAGAAGTAAAAAAGGAACTGATAATAATATTTAGTAGGTATCAAAATTGGTTGTAAAAGTCGTGGTGGCCCGGAGGTTAAGGAGGCCTTTGCTCAGCAGTGGGCACTTATAGGCTGATGATGATGAAAATTGGTTGTTAGAAATAGATCAGAGAAAACTAGCACTGTACATTTTATTTGAATTCTGTGACACATTGGCGCCACTGAACGCATATGTTATATTATAGAGTATAAGAAATACGCTCCGCAGCATCGGTTGGTCTGTCAATGTTTCGAGTTTTCTTGACTACAATCCCAAATCGCCCGCCTATCTACCAAACATCTGAAAACTCTGGTGAACGAGTGCTACCAGCTCATTCTAGACTCATAAAAGAACTAAAGACAGAAAGAAGGCAAAAAAACGATAAAGAACATGGAACACAAAACTACCGAAGATAATTTTCAACGCATTTGTTTTTAGATGAGCCAGCAATTCGGTCGCGCTACGCTCAGCTAACAGTTCTGGTGGCTCCTGAAGCACCCAGGATATTGAGAGGAGCCTTCATTGATGCCACAGAAGACCAGCCAGTGGATATCGAGTGTGTTTCTTCAGGAGGAAAACCTGCTGCTGAGGTAAGTAATACATTTGAGGAATTACTCAGCATTTTTGTAAGCCGCCATTTCTAGAATAAAGATCGGACTATATGTACGTGTCTCTGTATTTTTGGCGTAAATTTTGGCTAGTATTGGTTCATATAGGACCATTAGGATGATTAAATCTCCTTCTGTATAGCAAATTAGGCAACATTTTACCAAAAACCACGTGAACAAAGTAAACAGCTTATTTTTAACTAACTTCAAAAAATGAGGAAGAGATTCTACATGCAAAATGTATGTGAACTGATTTTGATACGGTTTTTATTTATTTATTTATTTAAATATAAGCACAATAACAAGACAATCACCCAATGTTATACAAAAAACTCAATAATCAAGTCATTGAATGCACAAGATATTGTGTACAAATTACATTAAACACGAAGTATATTTAAGAAAAAGTTTTAGTGTCTTTATTTACTTAAATTAAAAGTTATAAGTTTCGTTATTCATGTATGCATATTTTTCCGTGATTGCCTTTGATTCGCTGAACGGATTTGAATGGGGTTCCTTTTACAAATGAAGTAAATAAAATCAATTTGATAGGAGCAAAAAGTTTTGATATATAATATTATTCTCTCTTGTTTAGATCACATGGTTGGATGGGAACCAGCAAGTAATTAATAAGCCAGTCAAGAGTACAGTCGAATTGTTGCCAGACGGCCAACGATATATTACAAGGTTTGTATTACATTCCAAATTCAAGTGTCTCTCTTCTGATATTGTCACATTCTTAACCATCTTTTAATTCAATAGAGTGGATCTCTGAGGCTAGATGCATCGGAGCAGGAAAGAAAACAGGGGTAGTGTTTTGTCAGTAAGAGTTTGACACTCTGTCTTGAACCACCCAGGGCAGGAGAAGCCATTAGATGATTTTAAATGCTTAAAAAAATATCTGTCCATGAATTCGATAAATCATCCCCACAATAAATTTCGCGGGTCTGGGGATGGCGAGTAAGGTCAGAGGTCTCGCCCGACTAGAACCAGAGCGCGCCTCAAAGAGCCAATAGACCACCACAGACGGGGCTCTATAGGGCTGATGTTCTGCCGTGGTTGCGGGGTAAGCGCAATGAGGCACCGCGACCTCGGCCCAGAGCAGGAGAAGGGACGGGGGGTTTTTAGTCAGTAAGAGCCTGAAACTCCCTCCCGCCCAGTCCTGGGCCGGAGAAGTCATTTGATGATTTTGCCCTCACAAAACCCACAATAAATTTATCACAAAAACAATAATAAATGCATTGCTTGCATTTTAAAATGCTCTTTATTGATTACCTGAAGAAGAAAACCTAAGTAAATTAAAATGCCAAAATATAATTGTCATCAAACGTCTTAAAATTCTATCTAGCTCATTGGACTGTTTTAAATAACCCTATCATTCGTTTCGGATCACTGGATTGTAAGTTATTTATTAGATAGAATAGATAGTAATACAGATGCATCTATCACAGGTCGGTATTGCGGTTAACCCCGACGAAGGGTCACCACAATCAAACTATTACGTGTCAAGCACAGAACACGGCAGACAGAGCTCCTAGGATGGCCACTGTACATATAGAGGTAAATAATTATCTTAATTTTATGAGAAATAATGATTAAATCACGCGATTTGACTGAAAAAAGATCTGCTAGTTTCAAGGTCACGCAAGTTCGACGCGATGGGGACGCTCAAGAAAAAAATGCCCGATGTGACTAGAAACTAGTAGAGTTTTTCTCAATTAATTGACATAATTCACAAAGTCGTTTTTTCAATAACTTTTGAATGTCTGATGTTATCATTTAACAAATATATTTAATATCTGTTATAAATTATGATCGAATATCAAGAACTTGAGTTAAGATTGTAGCTCCATTCAAGTGAATGCTATTTTTCATAGTTATCAAACGAGGTTCCTTACCAGATTGGTATATTAATAAAATAAGCAATTGCAATATGACTTCTATAACTTGATAAAAGTGCAAACATTTTATTAGGTTACTGATTTTTATTTTTAAAAGAGTGGTTCACTATTTTCCGGAGTCTTTCTTAAACAATTCGTGGCAATCCATTTGAAAAAGGCTCGGAGATATAGAAAAATATAACACGTGTTTTTGAATCTATCTAATACTCTGGCCTTACTAAAGTATTTCACGAGTCCAAAAGATTAAATGCTCATTCAAAACCCCAGTTCTAACTTTGTTTTTCTTTCAAGGTCAAATACATACCAAAAGTAAACATATCAATCAGCTCCGGAGCGCACAGAGGCAAGATACCAGAAGGGTCGGAGTTGAGGGTCCGGTGTGATGTGGACGCAAATCCTCCTGCACAGTTCTATCGGTGGTACATCAACAATAACCCTGTGATCGGGGATTACGCTGATGAGATGGTGAGTAACCTTCTTGATACTAAGATATTTGAAACAATAAAACAATAAAATAATTTTGGCAAATGGGCCATTAAACGTTACTTCTACAGAATTCTATACGTCAAAATGGCGTATAAAAACTAGATGTAGCCGGCAATTCCTATTCCCTGATTCAGACCATGAGCATAATGTAAATATCCACCATAGACAATGAGTACAAAAATAAATTATTTTTTTGTTTGTTCAGTTTTATCTATAACTTGTGTGGTATATTTTGTTATTTTTAATTATTCGAATAATGACCTGAAATGTAAAAATACATTCACGAGAATGTAAATTGTTTGTTATATTTGGTTCAAACATTAAACAAATTTTTAAGGACTAATGATTTATTCCAACATCAATTACTAGAGCTACATTAAGTGACGCAGTCTGTGTGAGGAATGAAGACAATATTGTCTAGTAGTGCACGCTTCACAGTTGAGGGGATTTCGTAATAAATGTTAGTTACATACTGCAATGAAACATGTTCTATACAATGTAAGCTTTGCTTACTAAATGTAACAGTGAGACTTTAAAATCTGTGTTGATTGTTATATCAGCTTCTGCCAGGCTCTTTTCTCAAACACCAGGGTAAAAAGTAGGCATTCAGTAATAAGGGCTGTAATCTCAGTGTTGTGTGTCATTAAGGTTTGTTTCGTTCGGATGAGTTCCGAAGTTTCTTGTGAAAAAGACACATGCATATATTCATCTATACTCATGACATTTTACGTTATAGCATACACGTAAAATGTCATGAGTATACACTCGTTAGGCTGACTTGATTATTTTCAAGTGAAAAACAAATCAATTAATAAATCTAACAAATCATTTTATAACGATTTTTCTCCGTAAATTATAGGCGAAGTCGCTAGGCATATACAACTATTGTGTAATATATAAAACTGACTTTTATGAAATTACCATAAAACGTAGACTTTATGGATTCAATTATTTAAATTCTCCCGATTTCTATCGTTCATCTCTTTCTCAACATTACCAAGACATCTTTAAACAACTCTCAAAGAATAAAAGATAACATCTAACCAATAATCATCAGCAACTACCCCAAAACAGACACTTCCATACTACATTAGCTTAGATCACTCAACAATGTACACTTTCATACGCAAATAAAACAAGAACAACAAAGCAACATAATCGTTAATTAGGCAACAGAGAGCAATTCGCTCTGAAGTCAGTGTACAATTTGAATTTGCCGGGTAACGCGTTCATGCATTAACTATAACATTATGCAACGTACTGTTACATGTTGTGCAAACTTACATACTAAATCAAAATATGTATGCATTTCCGTCTAATTTAGAACGTGTCTGTTTGTCCCGTTTATTACGGGTTATTTACAATATTTATGGATAATTTGGTAATGTTTCGTCGTAGCCTGGAGGTTAAAACGCTTGGGTCTGAAACCTGACGAGTACCGATGTGACTTTTTCCGAGTTATATGTAAGATGGTCTAAAAACAACTGACGTACGGTTAAAACAGTGTTAAAAAGTCTATGTAGTGGAGACCAACTCCAGCTATGGTCTGAAGGTCTTGGTTTTTTTTTATAGCATCGGTCGGCAAACGAGTGGATGGATTACCTAATAGTAAGCAATCCGCCTGCCAAAACTTCCGCCTGTTGCCGAGCTCTTGTGGATTATTAGGGCATTTGAAGATTGAGGATCGGGGGAAGGATTGGGTCTCCAGTAACCTCACTCACACGGCAAAACACACCGTAAATGTATTACTCCGGTTGAGCTGGCCCATTCGCGCGGAAGTATGCCTCTCCCATACTTATTTTAGCAACATATTTAATTTTGTTAAGTATAGAAAACTAAGTATTATGCATTTGTTGCAGATCATCTTCAATGTGACTCGAAAACACCACAACGCACTAGTCAAGTGCGAAGTCAGCAATTCCGTCGGAAAAAGTGATGGAAATCTCACCTTAGAAGTTACCTGTAAGTATTATTATTACTGTTTTGATATTTTTGTATCTGTAATTCTCCTTGAAAGGTGTGTGTGGTCATCGAATGACGCTTCCTACCCTGGGGCGCCGAGAAGGAGTGTTAGACTTTTACTAACTACAAACCAAGTTTTGCGCTGAGCAGGCCAATCATATGCCATTCAGAGCATTGAACATCCATAATGTGGCTTATTCAGACTACGTGGACTTCATAAGGCTAATTATATCCATCTTATAAGATAGGTATCTCACCATCCTGGATAAGTTGTAGGGTTCTGAAATCGAAATTATATCTAAAACGTCTTTTGCGAGGGTAGTGAAATTACTTTTGTCGCCCAGGGAGGGGTGTCAGACTCATACTGACTAAAAACCCCCCGTTCATTTTTCTGCTTTAGGCTGGAGCTGATGTACCTAACTGTGCTTGCACCGCAACCCGACTGAACAATATAATATAACTACAAAAAAAACTGATTTATCTTTTGTACTAAATTATGATGTTTTGTACACAAAATGTAACAGAAAAAAAGGAATCTAGCCCAAACATTCGAAACACCCGAACCGAACAATTATTTCAGAGTTTTATTATTTAGCAAACACGTCATGATCCGGTTTTCTAGTGGAAGAAATAGCCGCGATGTTTATACCGATGATACAACACCATAACATGCGTGCGCGCACCCACTACTTGTGACGTCATGACACCAAACGCTTATTGGTCGAACGGGAAAACATTTGAGAAATTGTAGAACATTTGGTGTTCCCGTGACGTTTAATTGACATTACGATTGTTTTGTGTAACATTGATACATTTTCAAATTCAAAAACGTTCATGATTAATTACCGAAGTTTTTTTTTTTAAATCTTTATTTTATTAAAAGGGCTACCGAAGTTTTGTTACCAACTCATGCTACGCTTTATCGACCAATATAAACTGATCCGTGAATGTTCGGAACGATCATATAAAGCGAGACCGCGATATGTTGGATGTGTACAGCTTGATAAGTGACAGCGTGAACACAGTTCTATTCTCAGTTCCATTTAAGAAATCAAAAACAATATAATACTACTATGTAGACAGTTTTTATGTTTCCATAATGTATGGTTGATTCCATATGGTCATAAAAATCAACTAAATACACGCAAAGATATACCAAAGCTTGGAGCGGAGTAGGGGCTGGATCATTGTGGTTTTAATCAGTAAAATTCCGAAATTTTGTTGGACTTGACCACTAAAAAGAACAAATAACTTCGTTTACTAGAAGAAACTATATCCAACAAAATTCAATAAAAAACTACTGCTTGATATATTTTCTAATACAATTCCTTGTTCGCAGATCCACCAACCTTCAGAACGAGGCCTCAGAATGTGGAGACCGACATCGGCTCCAGTGTAGTACTAAGCTGTGATGTCGATGGTCAGCCCCAGCCGGAGATCAGGTGGCTGTTCCATGAGCCAGGACGGATAGGGGTAAGTGAATACCATGAAGGAAATGTTTTTATAATAACTATCGTGAGACATACTAAATTAACTAAAAATTGCGGGTTACTCACGTGTCTATCTTGAGAAAAGCTCTACTAGTTTCGAACCACAGAGGGGCTCTTCCTCATGAGCAGCGTGCGCGGACGCGGCGACGTTGAGCTTTTCTCAAGATAGACACGTGAGTAACCCGCGATTTTTAGTTAATCCATGAAGGAAATGCCTATAGGAATGATTATGACTAGCCAAAGTTAATACTTTTTATGACATGTCATATTTTGAACACTGCACGGTTGGCGCTGTGGCTGGGCAACTTGCTGCTGTGAAATGCTTTATGGGTTAGTTTCTCGCACGGAACAAATATGAAAAAACTATACCTACATAATTTATGAACTCATAATTTGTTGCATCAACCATATTGTTATGACTTATTCCTCTCTGAAGTTAGCTACTAACACATTTTTTTACCAACAAAAAAAAACATTCTTGTTTTTTAATTTTATGAAATATTTAAAACAATAAAATACTAAATAGCAAAAAATATACTTTAAGTTTAACATCAACTATATCAACTCTTATTGTTTTTGACAGGATTTGTACAATAAATTTGTTACATATAGCAGTTGCATTCTCAGTGATATTTACTTTGAAGTTACTTAGACACGCACCCACATAGTCTAGACTTCGTTTTTCATCTTTGCTCTTGACTTGACTTTAAGTGTCATCAAAACAATCTTTCCAAGATTTATGAAATTCAATACTTTTAGTTATTTAGTATGAAGTGTGTAGGCAATCATTTTAAAGTATTACGTCAAACATAATTTATGTATTTGTCTGTATGACTAACTCTATCTAACCGCATAAACATCTGCTAGCAGTAGATCCGTCATCGTTTTTATTTCAAGATTTTAATAGACTGAGGTTTTCGATATACAATTTGAACAAGCTAAATTTTACAATAGCTTTTTACCCTAGTTTCAACTAAGTGCTATTTTCCTATAAACTGTCTGAAAGGTATAACAGTCTAGATTTAAAATTACTAAATGAATCTGGGGTTTTTATAGAAACTCGATGCAACCAATTTCAAAAATCGATCTTACATCAATTGAAATCGATTTGTTAAATTTTGTCATAAATTACTTGCTCAAAAATGGAACGCTAAATTTCGAAATTAGAATCAGAATTTTGACAAAGCCATCGATTTGTTTCTTTCTCACCATATTGGTAATTTTTAGTTAGGTACTTACCTAGAGATTTTTGGGAGTTTTATTTTTGGTTCCATAAAATATGCGCTATATTATACTGAACTAGTAACTAAAACCAATAAAACACCTAACTGCATTGGACATAGAGCACACATTTCAAGGCCCACGAAAACGTAAAACAATGCCACATAGGTACTTTTACCATCACAGTTTTGAGACAGCAGACAGTATTATTTGAACATGTAATATTTCAGCAGGTCAAAGGAAAGGCTCCCAACTTGAAGGTCTACGTGAACGCGGAGACAGCTGGACGGTACATCTGCAAGGTCATTGAGGAAGGGTACCCTGAGATCGAGAGTGAAGCTACCATCTTCATTAAGAGTAAGTTCTACTGCGCTATAACTCTTGAGAGACATTGACGTTGGCAGTTGACGAATTAACTCGACTTCTTTCAAGCCATGCTAGGATTGATAATCATTGTAATAAGCCGAACAATTTCATAATAGTTATTTTCATAAATATATTTGAGTAAGTTTATTTTATTTTATTTGGTTATTTAACAATGAGTACACTGTTACATTTGTGATTGTACATTCAAGCTTAAGTCTAAGTGCCTAATCACTTATAAAAGAACACCACGTGCACTATAATTTACGCATAAACCGCGAAGTTATTAGTGTATAAGTATATGTATGTGTATATTTTCTTTTATGTGATAGGACGGCAAACGAGCAGACGGATTACCTGATGGTAAGCAATCGGCGTCGCCCATGGACACCCGCAACAAAGAAGGAGTTACGAGTGCGTTGCCGACCTTTAAGGATTGGGATTTTGGGGATTTAGGGATTGGGCCTCCGGTAACGTCACTCACACGGCGAAACACAACGTTGTGGTTGTTTCACGCCGATTTTTTGTGAGAACGTGGTATCACTCCGGTGGAGCCGACCCATTCGTGCCGAAGCATGGCTCTCCCACACCCATATGTGTGGGAGAGCTATTCCTCGGCACGAATGGACATTTGAAGATTGTCAGTGTGTGTCTATTTGTGAAATATACCCATGATACTTATAAGTAAAATAAAGTTTTAGCTTTAAATAACTTTTTAATACATATTTTATTAACTTAACCTTTGAAGTTTTTTTTTCTATTCAGCTCACTATTATCGTGATTTTATGTACTAAAGAATAAATTTGTGGTGTATTTTTGCAATCAAAAAAGTCATTTAAAATCTACATAGATGATATTTCGAAATAAATGAGCTAGAAAAATGTTTGCTTTTAAAACTGTTATTTTACACAGACATGAAAATCTATTTAAATTCAACTGAAATTCGATTCACCTTCAGCTTTAAAATGTATTACATAAAGTTCATAATCCGATTCATTTTTGTATATCAGGGACATTGACATTTTAAAAAAGGATTTATCGAAATGGAAAAAAACATCCGATATAAAGAAATTTGAAATTTAATACCACAATATTATAAGGTCGAATATTGAAACATTTTGATTCGACCATTGACCCGAATTAATTGGTTCTTTTCCGCTACCCTCATGACACATCATATCATCAGCCTATAAGTGCCCACTGCTGAGCAAAGACCTCTTCTCACACAAAAAGGTTTTGAACTTTAACTACCACGCTTGCTCAAGGCGTGCGGCGATTGGCAATTTAATTTATAATTAGAAAATTATAAGTCCAGGTTTCCTGACGATGTTTTCCTTCACTGTACACGTGTAACATGACGAGCCTGTCACGTCATGTCACGGTTTTAAAGTGAAAACCACAGAGAATCTAGCTATTGTAAGGCGGTGACCCTATTTTTCGATATTGGGTTCTATGGTATTCCAATATTTGCAACTAACTAACCTATTTCTGACCCAGAAATTTGCACAAAGCTGTCTCAAAAATAGACAGTCTGTTAAACATTATATTCTTTTTTCTCGCAGGTGCTCCCAAAATTCTTTCGAACCGAACTCAGTTCGGTATGGAAGGAGAGAGTGTGAGGATAGAATGCGCTGCACGATCAGTTCCAAAGCCTGATGACATCAGGTGGTACTTCGAGGGACGAGAGATCAGTGTCATCCAGGACCCTGTAAGTATTCTTTATGACAATACCTATAGTATGTATTCTTAAACATTACATTGTCAAATTATTCCCTAGTTCTGCAAGTTAAAACGGCTTTTCATGTCCTTAGAGACGAAGCGTTTGATTTACCAGACTATAGTTCCAAGATTAAATAAATATAATATCTACAAAAACACACCATATATTATCTTGATACTTGAACCGAACCATTTAGCGACATTCAATAATAACTTAAACTATTCCTTGACAAAGAATTTAGATCAGTGGGTAGCATTATGGGTGGTATACTGAAAAACATTCCCTAGGACAGTTAAATGACTCTGAGTAAGAACCGTACTACACTAGATCTACACAAAAATTTACAAGAAAATTAAATTAATGATACCTTCTCAGGATTACGCGACCTTAGAAGAGACCTTACCAGATGGTGTGATTAAGTCCAGCTTGGTGATCAGAGCCAGCCAGTCCAGACACTATGGACAGTATAACTGCAGTGTGACCAATGAGTATGGAAACGCTAATGCGGCCATATTGCTGAAACCTTTGAGTAAGTATGATATTAAATTTGATAAGATTCTCAAAAACGTTGAAAAAGGTCCCTGGAATATTGAGCAAATAGTTTCATTCATTCAATGCTTTTATACTTCTTCATTACTTATATAGTTTAATTTTTGGGGTCCAGGTGTAATACAATTGTTTTTTAAATTTTCGATTAATCTACCTATGTCGACACTGGCATGTATGGCGTTTGAATGGCACATTTATACGAATATTGGTATTTTCCAATCACCGTTAAAAACAAGAAAATAGAGGTAAAAAGCTTATTGTCGATTTCAAAATCGAAATAGCAGATTAAACTGTTCCAGGTTCACTTAATTTCCACTTGATATAAATCTGAGATCCTTTAACAAAAGTGGAGTTCCTAACAGATGTTTTCTTTGCAGAAACCCTACCGCTATACATAATCCTGATCGGTGTGACATCTGGTATCGTTCTGTTCTCTGCCTTCATCATTCTGGTGGTGGTCTGCCACCGAAGGAGACGGAAGAAGGGTCAGATGAATGAGAAGCCAGATGTTACAGTCACTACTGGAGATATGTATAACAAGGAGAGCGATAGGAGCTCTAATATAAGTGATCTGAAGCTGCAGCTGCCTCAAAGTGATGGGAGCTATGAATTGGTAAGTACTTTCTTCTTGATCAGGGTGATCTAGGATCTGGTCTACGGTTTTTTCTATCGTTTTATTATTGTAAGTTGAATCCAGAACATTAGTCTTATACAGTTATTTCTGAGCATCCATTGTTTTATCCTCAAGCAATTATTCAGTTGTGCTGCATAATATAATAGATTTAACAGAACACAACACATTAAAATATATTCTTATATCTGGTTCATCTCTTTACGCAGTTTAGAAAAACGAAATAAAGATTGAATGATAAAAATAAACTCAAAATAGCACACATATTTACCAGAATTCATTTAGTTAAGAAATGTTAGCAGCGTACTGTTGTATTCAATAATTCGACTTCTTCACAGGATTACACAAGCTCCGATCGTTCAGATAGCAAGATGCATGCAGGTCTACCTCTAGCAGGTCCTGTGCCTCTCCCCAACCTTCGACACGATGATCCTCTGATGCAATTCCGATACAGCAACGATTACTCCGATCCAACGTATAGTGATCCTTATTTCAAGGTCAGTGCTTAGTCATATAATAGTGTATTTTTTTTTCTGCAGTGACTGCCATATCGGTTTCATAGTTACAAAGTTGGTTGGTTGGTTGGGTTGGTTTTGTAAAACATGATTCAAGGAAGGCTTGTGTTTTGGACTTAAAAGAAGGCTTTCTGAGGCTTTGTAGGAGTTGTTTTTAAAAACGAAATTTTCCTAGTTATTTCCTACAAATAGTAGGTATGTACACTATGTACAGGTCTTTCATTTAGTAAATAATGTTGAAAATTCGCAGAGCTAATCTATGCAAACAAGCTGTCTGTAAATACATTTAAGTCATTGGGGTGCATCCATGCACACTTTGAGGCCAAATAAATTCCAAGTCAAAAACACATCACCCGGATAGAATCAATGCCTAAATTATTATTATTATTATTTTTTGAATTATTTAATAAAATAATTTATTTTGCTCAGCAGTGGGAACTAAAGATGTACTTAAATCATTACAATCTAGTCATGTGCATAATAAAGACACTAGGTACCATTGAAGCAGCCTAACATTTTCAGTGCCAAAATCACATGAAAAAAGCAACTCAACCGAGCACTTTAGCATACCATAATATTTTCTGTTTACCTTTTTTATCACAAAAAAACCTCAGCTAATACCACATCAAAGGAAAAACATATTTTCGCAAGCTGAAATTCAGATCAAACTACAAAAGCGAAAAAGAAACCAATTTGACAGTCACAAGTTATCTGAAATAATACCTTTTGTGTGTAAAAAGTAATACAGTCAAGGCAGAAAATCCATTTTGTATAAAATATATAATATTTTTTTTTTATTATTTTCCGGCTGTTGACAAATTTCGATTTTAATTGATGTTGTGTGTTATTATAATTATTATTCTTGTAAATTTCTTTTGTTGATTTTATATTCATAGACTGTACCGTATTTATTATATAAATTATTTATTTTACAACAAATAAATTATACAATTATACACGTTACGTTGCGTTTATAGGAACGTTTAAAATTAAAAATTAAGCTTGATGAATTGTATTTTAAAAAGTAGAGAATATTCAAGAACATTTTTAAAAACGTTGTTACTATTTATAATACTAATGAAATACTTAATTATAAATGACAAACATGTTTAAATAAAACGAGAAACAATCAAAATGGATTTTCTGTCTTTACTACACTATATAACCTACTGCGGTGAAATAAAGGTAGTATTACATGTTTCATGGCAGAGCCCCGCGGGGTACGTGTACGACTACCCACAAGGGTACGCCCCTCCCCCCCACCTCCGGGTACAGTCACCCCCCCTCGAGCCGCCTAGTAGGTAAGTACATGATTATTTTATTTTTATTTTCTTTATTGTCAGAGTTAAAAAGGGGAATCAGGGTTGCCACCCACTTAAGGACTTTGTTGGATTTATTGGACTATCGATTGTTTGTGACAAATACTTTTAACAAAAATCTTTTAAGTACCTATTGTATTTTTGTTTTGTGTTAATGTCTTTTTAGTGGAATATATAATATGATCTTTAAACAGAATTCGTCAATTATTTAAATATTATCTTGGTTTGCGATACACGTAAGACTTTTGTTTTATAATTTTCGTTAATCATAATTTATCATTTTATTATGTTTTTACCAACTTACTTAAGTAACTGTTTGACGATAAAGCTCGACTAGTTTTGAGCCATGGTTGCCCATTTAACGTATAATTTACAACAATAAAATATACGTATTTTCGTAAGCAGTTGTTAAATATAACGATACTAAATTTATTCATAAGAATGTATAAAAAAAATTATGAACCTTCAATCTTTTAAAATACCGATTTGTAATTCCATTAAAACAGTCAACTGACAACCCTAATAGAACTTAAAAATGCGGTTTTCTTTCGTTTACATAGTTTGTGAATTTTAAATTTATTTTTATTTTTGAATAAAGAATGGAAATCCGATTGTGTTTCTTTATTTGTGTTAAAAATGTTATGTAGCAAAAAGGTTAAGAGTTTATATCGTAAAATATTTTATTCATACTTTTCGTATTCTGAATTGTGTCTAAACTAATGATTTAGATATACACAAAAAAATATAATCTATAAAAATTACTAGACATCTTAAATAAAAACAACATATTTGTAATCAATACAAAACTCAGAAACCTCAACGACAATTTTACCTCGACAGGTCATTACAAGGTTCATTGACGCGCAGCATCGACACGGCGTCGACGCTCCCATTGTCAGCTGGCAATGGATCGCAAAATAATACGTTACAACGAACGACCAAGTCTTCAGATGAAACGGACGCAATTAATAGTCTGGGACTTCCAGTCGGTGATGGTGGGTATAAGATTCTTTGTAAATTATTGGCCAATTTTTTTAGTGTTGCCTTACATTAGTATTTTTACGTGTGTCGAGGATGTGTTTATTAATACTTTAATTTGTATATCTACAAATTCACATATATACACATGTTATTGAAGCCCAGAATAACTATTTGAGGATTACACAAAGAGGAATCAAATACGCAGCAAACCTATTTATACTGCACTTCTTTAAATCATTTAAATTAGCGGGATTGTTGGATAAACCTAAGCAGTATTGCTTAGGTTTATTCAACAATCCCGCTAACCTAACCACTTTTTTTATTTTTCCGAGTCTTTTTCTTTTGTTTCTAATTAAAAAAAAATACCAAATTTTCTCCTATGTGCTATATATATTAAAAGTTCACTTGACCATTGGATTGACAAAACAAAAAACAAATTAACCACAGACGACCTAAGTGAAACGTAAACAAAGTACAAAAAAAGTTCGTAGCTTCTACGAAAAATTAGTTCCAGCACTCTTAACTAGAGAGTAGTCACGACTATTTAAGAAACGTAAAAATTATGTTCCAATTAATTTTTATTTTTGTTTATAGCGTCCCCGACACCTATATATGCCCAGCCAAATACAAAACCTCAACCCAATGTGGATTTGAGGTACTCGGCTACGTATGGAAACCCGTATTTGAGGAATAATAATATGGGTGAGTGTAAAATTAATTTATATGATTTTGTTTAGTTAAGTGGACATGTCCTCTTAGCAGAAGTCTTCTCTCATTGCTTATATGTAAATATAAGGGCAATAAAATCGTCTTTATTCATTTTCAACTTCTTTCTTACGTTTTAATTAAGAACACTATGTGCATTTTGACACTTGACTATTTTCTTCAGTCAATAATAAATAATTATTTGAAAGTTTCAATACTTACTAAGTATTAAATATTTGTACCTAATTTCAATAGAAGAATATGCTAGTTGGCACAAAAATATTATGATGTCACAATTCGGTTTCATGTCAAAAGTATTCACATGATTTTTAGAAAGAAAGAACTTACAACCATATTGAACTTCATATTGGTGCTACTACAAAGAGATTTAATTCCTTTTTCTATAAATATCCAGAAGAAAAACCGAAAACCGCAACCTCAAAAAAGATTTTTTTTTATGTAATAGGTCGGCAAACGAGTAGACGGATTACCTGATGGTAAGCAATCAGCGCCGCCTATGGACACCCGTAACGGAGGAGTTACGAGTGCGTTGCCGACCTTTTAGGGATTAGGGATTTGGAGATTTAGGAACTGGGGAGGGATTGGGAAGGGGAAGGATTGGGCCTCCGGTCACCTCACTCACACGGAGAAACACAAGTGGTTGTTTCACGCCGGTTTTCTGTGAGGCCGTGGTATCACTCCGGTCGAGCCGACCCATTCGTGCCGAAGCATGGCTCTCCCACACTTAGCATGGCTCTCCCACACTTAGCATGGCTCTCCCACACTTACCTGCTTTACAAAATTAAACCTTTTTACTTCTCCATACAGGTTATAGTAGTCAAGTGCATACAGCGAAGCCAGCGTCCACACCGGCGCCGCCTCCATACTCGGCGGTTCGAAACTCAGCCGTTTTACCTACAGGTAAATAGAGGTCCGCGTCTGGTGTTAAAGGGTAAGGAGGATTCCTTATTGAGAATGCCTTAAGTACCTTTTTCTTTATTAATTTCCTAACTCATCTTTAATGTATCTTTCTTAGCTACATAACTTAATTAGCTATTCATCTTACGATAGGAATGATTTTTTTTTGAATAAAAACGTTGCCCCACTTTGGATTTTCTCCTGTGTCGTGGGTGCGTTTATAAACATACAATTTCACATGCACATCACACCCAGACCCAGCTTAATTAGCTATTCAAGTTATAGCAGGAATTTCTATCCATAATGATTTTATCAAATACTTATTCAGACCCTAAGACCCTAAATTTAAGGGTGTAGAGGTTTCTGCCCCGATGGTGGGTTAGGTTACATTAAAACTGTGACCTAGTCCTCGAATTGCAATTAAAGTTAAACAGGCTATGCTGATAGATATTAAGCTACTTGGCTGTGAAATAATTACAAGTATAATTATGTAACATAAGATTTTGTCGATTACCTATTCTTTGATTTAAATTCATCAAACCTTTCCTTAGTTTTTTTATTAGTGGCTAATTTCCTATAATTTTCGAATATATTTCTCTGATGCACTATTAATTTCTTCTAAAAATTTATTAAATTACTCACTGTATTATCGACAATGCACCATCTTTCCTGAACGACTGTATCTTTATTAATGGCACGAAGACATTTTAGCATGTACCTGGTTTTACTAAAACTAAGTATTATAATATTACAAATTACATCTCCCTATTATAGTATCGTTAGTTTAATTTAATAAGAAAGCATGCTATACTTGTACATCACCACTCAATTAAACAAACTAAAATCTACGAAATCAACGATTAAATTAGGCCTCTGGTAACCTCAATCACAATGCGAAACACAAAGCTGTAGTTGTTTCACGCCGGTTTTCTATGAGGCCGTGGTATCACTCCCGTCGAGCTGCACCATTCGTGCCCCCAAATTTAATCATTGCTTACCATCAGTCAAGATGGTGCATTCCATAAAAGAACACCAGAAATTCCAAACAAATATAGGTACTTATAAATAAACAATATCTAACCGGTCTGCAAAGTTATATTGGCAAGTACAGCCATCGCGAGCTCAATTGTTTGTGTTTAGTAACTTCGAATGAATTACGTTCGATCTTACCGCAACGTGTTGGCAAAGTCGCATAAATCTAATTGCATTCGAAGTGAGACTTGAATTATTTATTGGACCAACTTGCTACTTAAGTTGCTAGTTTTATTTTAGGGTTTCGATTTGGTAATGGGTTTTTTGGGTGAGGTTTTTGCGGTTTTGTGGATTGGGTTTTTGTTTGGTTTATAGTGAAGTCGTGCTTCGAGCTTGCAATAAAATTTTGATGAATTGAATAAATATTTATTTTAACTTTTGTTTCTTGAATTTATATTTGGGGGTGAATAAGGGGTTTGTACTATTTTAGCTTTTTGATTATCTACCGTTGTGCTATCTGGTTATAATGTTTATTTTTTAAAGATCGTACTTTTATGTTAGTCGTATCAATAAAATAACAAAACGCTTATACTTGTATATAAGAAGAGAATAATTGTTCGTTAGTCTCGCTAAAACTCTTAAACTGCTGGACTAACTTAGTTAATTTGAATTTTCAAATATTTTTATGTGAAAATCCTGGGAAAGCTTAAACATTAAAAAATGTGATAAGAATGCTAGTGAAATATTGAAATAGAAAACCTTTTCCTTACTAACTGTTATGAAAGTGTCACAGATATTTAAAAAAGAAAAAAAAAACTGATTATTGTTAATTATTAAAAGGATAAAATAAATATAGTCATCATAAATCCCCTATAAGACTAAAAATCAAATTAGTAAAGGTTAAAAAAATCATAAACGTAGGTACGTAATAAAGAAAACAATTTCGAGAACAAGGCATTAAAACATTATTATTTTATTAAAACGAAATTCTCTAAGCACCGCGGCCGTACCGGAATATACTAGTTATTACATAAAATATATCAACCAATTTGTATTCCGTATTAAAAATAATAAATGACCATTCTCTACTTTTATTCGTAATATCACTTAAGTTAATTGTCTTCATTTTTTACAGGTAATGGCAGTCAGCCGTCTCAAGGTACCCATGTATAACAGAGGCGTCAAATCATAAGAATAGTGTAAAATTGACTCTTGAAAAATCAGCTGTAATGAGCTGAAAGTTTATCATACTATGTTCCTGAATTTTCATACGACTGAGGTGTATATATGATAGGATAAGTCTGAAGGCTTGTTTAATAATTTTGAAGGACTTAGGGCTGATTTTTCAATGGTTAGATAAAAGTTAACTGGGGAATAATTATGATGCTGTCGCGTCAGAACGTTTGTATAAGACAGTGACAGCAACAGTTTTATTCCTCAGATAACATTTATCTGACTGTTGAAAATCAGGCCTAAATCGAAGATTTTTTTACTAAAAGTGCATGCAAAAGAGATTATATTTCATCACAAAATGTATAAGGTATCATTATTTTGACGATAATTTACTCGAAGATAGTGAATTGAAAATTGTATTTATTTGCACCAAAATATTATTTAATTATTAATTCTCTGTTTCTCTTTTGCATTCACTTTCGTACTTCGAATTATAATGACTTGAATAATTTATTGCATTTCGAAAATAATGAAATATTTCAACTGTCTCTTGTGTTAATTATTTTGCGTTAAATCGTCAAAATAATTGGTCGTAATTATTATTGGACTATGCAATTCTATTGCTTCGTATTTTGTATAAAAATTAAATGGAATATATTTTTGTAAATACAATAAATAAAGAAATGCATGAAAATAATAACTATCTAATTTTTTTTTGTAATAATTAAAATATTTTTGTTACATTCTGTATAAAGAATTTTATCTGAGAATAATGAGTGCATTTTAAACCTATATACATTACAGATTTATTTTTTAATTTGTTAATATCGAGTCCGATTATTTAGTTCATGCGATTGCTCAATAAATGAATCGGTTAACGATTTTTTATTTATAATTCCATTAATTTCCAATTAGTATAATATAAAACATTTATTATATAAACTATACAGACTGAAAATAAAATATTTTATAAAATTTATATAGAAAAAAAGAAAAATAAATATCTTCGTAGATATTGTTGATGATTTTTTGTGTTGTCTGTTCACTGTCGCTTAGTTGTTTTTAAACTTTATAATAATACGACAGTTTGACTAGATAGAATAAATTAATTAGCTAAAAATGTCAATGATAGGAAAATCATATTTTCTGTGATAATTATATAGTGAAAAGAAATTAGGATCGCATCTTCTTAGTTCCATATTATATGTAATAGATAAGATTCCGAATAATGTGTGACAACCCAAAAAATATAGTTTTAAAAATATCCTTGTTATTCGTGTGCCACTATTTTAATTTTAATTTTCATTTAAAATGTAAATAGATGTTAATAATGTAAGTTATTGCAGCTTTACGAAATGTCACCTCATTGAATGGGCATAATTATTAATGGCAAAATAACAATTTTCTGTTGTTAAAAAAAATGTAATGAAAATGTATAAAAAATATTGCATGATACAGTGTTTTCGTTCTTTGCATGCGATTATAATTATTATTATTTGTCATTATTTTAAATGAATAATGATAATTATCAGAATAAAACTTTTGATTTTATTATATTTTTGTTGTTTTATTTTTCTTTCGTATTTTAGATCCCTTTAGGATGATTTTTTATGGTACTGGTCGGCAAACGAGCTGACGGATTACCTGATGGTAAATCATCACCATCATCATCAGCCTTTAAGTGCCCACTGCTGAGCAAAGGCCTCTTCTCATACGGAGAAGGTTAAAGCATTGATCACCACGCTTGCTCAAAGCGGGTTGGCGATTTCAAACTCCACTCCAGGACTTAACTCCAGGTTTTCTCACTATGTTTACCTTCACTGTATGTCAGTAGTGAAATAATCATAGAAAGTACTTTAAGGAAGGCTTGGGATGTTAATGAATGTATACAATAAAATTATTGCATATGCGGGTTCACCTAAAAACTTGCTTGCTACCTACTTTAAGAGTAAACGTGGTAATTAATACATAAACAATCTCCTTGGAAGAAGAAGGCTTTGAGGTAGTAAATCATCCAATGCCTTATCTTAAAGTCAAAGTTAAAATCATTTATTACAACTAAACCATAAATACAGATAGATACTTTTGAAACGTCAAAATAGAAAAGTAGTCTGTCAGTCTGTTCGTCAGACAAGTGAGGTGCTCGTTCCAAATTGTAGATTCGAATCAAAAAGAACGAGCAAGAATCTCCATCCCAACTTAGATAGGAGACTGGATGAGGGTGTTTTAGACTCTTGCTAAAATCTAGTTTCTTCTCCTGCTCAACTTCGAGGCCTCAAACTACGGCCTTCTTGGGAGTGAGAAGAGGCCTAAGCTCAGCAGTTTTTCATGTGATTGACTTGGCAAACAAGCTGATGGATAACCTGATGGTAAGCGATCAGCGCCGCCCATAGACACGCGCCACAGAAGAGTTACGAGTGTGTTGCCGACCTTTTTCGAAATTTGGATTTTGGAGATTTAGGGACTGAAAAGGGATTCGGGTAGGGGAAGGATTAGGCCTCCGGTAACCTCGCTTACATGGCGAAACACAACGCTGTGGTTGTTTCAGGTTTTCTGGTAGGGCCTTGGTATCAAATATTATCATTCGTATATTTCTATAGAAACAACTAACACAAACTTTTCTAAAACAAAAACTAACAAGTCTAGAAAGAATCCAGTAATCATTACGGACCTAAATTCATCCATCAATTACAAGATCTTAGGCTATTCTCAAAGACATTAGCACCTCTATATAATAGATGGAGATGTACAATCGTCTCATCTCACTTATATCTCGCAGTTTTTATCAAGTGTCAGAGTTGTTTGAAAAAATACTAGATGAGCTTTTGATGGAGTTCGCAGTTAATGGTTGTGATGTGTCGCCGAGAATGTTAGTAGATAGTACTTTTATACATATGTAGGAAGATCGACAAGGCTGTGAGTGGGACTGCCACTGTTGTTTTTTATTTTGATGCTTATATTCTAAGAAGTAAGATATGTAATTACTATTTACAAGTAGCTCTTCTAGTACTATTAAAAGAAGCTCTACTAAAAACAGTAGAAATGGAAATGTGTATACATCAAAAAAAAAAAAGATTCTCAGTGACGTCGAGTCACCATAAGCTTACCTTGCTTATCTCCAATCATTTCATTTCTGGGAAAACCATCAAATTCTGTATCGATAATCGCAATCCCTTAAAAAAATCTCGCTAAATAATCGCCAACATAACCACTTCAACACTTCTGCTTCTCCATGTCGCAGCCACGGCACATTTATTGCCTTAATCAGAAGACTGTGTAAGTTAAACATTATTAGTACTTACTGAAAATTTCAAATCAAAAACCTCGTTGGTAAGTTCAAATGACACTAAGAATTTTATCAACAAAACATTTAAATAGTACTACTTAAAACATAAAAATACATAAAAGTTACTTGAAACACACAAGAAATTAAAACCACAACGATGTCCCATTAATTACGTATCTACAACAATATCGATACCTTGCCATAAGCTTATACTTAATTCATTTCATTCCTGGAATCTGTACCCACAAGGAAACCAGAAGGAATGTGCGAATACTTATAATAGACAACATCCAACAATCGTATTGATTTTCAACCTCAGACCCTTACCGCAAGATGTCACTAGAATCACTAAGCAAAAATGCCGACTGACTGGTTTTGGATTTGCGGTTAGAATGAAGAAATTATTGAAGAGAAGTCTTGAGTTTGAATGTTTATGTGAGGTTGCATATAAATGATAAACAAATGAATATTTGTTTATATATTACATTACAACAGCAACTACTTCTATCTTGACTTGTAACACCAGAGGGAGTTACGAGTGCGTCACCGGCCTATTGGAGATTAGGGTTTCGGCGATTTAGGAGTGGGCAAAGATTGACCCTCACTCACACTGCGAAGCACAATGTAAATTTACTTTCTGTGTGCTGTGGTATCACTCCAGTCGCACCGAAGCATTGCTCTCCCAAACTTCAATACCCATTATTTTTAATCGTAGTAATATTGGTTTTCTTCCTCGTCTCGGTGTGTGTATGTGTATGTTTTCATTTGAACCTTGAAAGGCTTGGTATAGAGATTGGAATTCGCACTTTTGACTTGGTGCAGGTAAATAAATAGATGACGAATGGTGATGATGATGATGATGATTATGGTTTTTTTTTGTGAGGCGAAAATCATCAAATTACTTCTCCCGCCCAGGGCCGGGTGGGAGGGAGTGTAAGACTCATACTGACTAAAAACCCCCCGGTTCCTTCTCCTGCTCTGGGCCGAGGTCACGGTGCCTCATTGCGCTTACCCCGCAACCCCGGCTGAACATTAGCCTTATAGGGCCCCGTCTGTGGTGGTCTATTGGCTCTTTGAGGCGCGCGCGGAACGCTACGCGCCGTACGCTCGGGATAATGATTATGGTGAGGTTAAAACTATCGATAAATACAGGTAGGTATAAATTAGCTAAAATTTTCTCAGGTTTGGAGGCGAGATGTCTAAATAAACTATTCAAAGTTATAGTTTCAGTTTTAACTATAAAGTTTGTATTTGATAAACAAGATAACATTGATTTAACTGAAGAAGTTAAGTGAAGACGCGGTTCGATTTATTTGAACTTGTTTACTTAGTCGAATTGAATTTAGGTTTCTTTAAGGTTAGAATTAGTATTGGAAAGGGAATTTTGAAAGTATTAATGTCATATCGAAGCAATGATAGACTATAGATAGATATGACTTTTTAGAGAGTTGAAAATTATTAAATAATCCAAGGATAGGGCAAGATGTCAGTCTCTTCTAAATAAAAACCAATCCATTAGTTCTCCTGCTCCGGCCGGGGGCTTTTATTTTTTGTGAGGGGAAAATCATCAAATGACTTCTTCTGGGAGTGTCAGATTCTTACTGACTAAAACCCCCCCGTTCCTTCTCCTGCTCTAGGCCGAAGCTGCGGTGCCTCATTGCGCTTACCCTGCAGCTCCGGCTGTGGCCTCCGGCAACGGTGTACAATTGTGTTTGCAGAGCAACCCCAGAAGCAATGATAAAATGCCTTTATTATGGAATAGGAGAAAAACGAACAGATGGATCACCTGATTGTACCTAAATGATCAGTCCTGTGAACACCTAGTAGACCAGAAGAGTTGATCAAACGGGCGTACAAATGTAGTTTTTTTATATGATGGGTCAGCAAACGAGCCCTCTCTCGTAGATCTCTCGTGTGACCTGATGGTAAGCATTCGGCGCCTTCCATGTACACCCGTTACAGTAGAGGGCGAGTGCGTTGCTGACCTTTTAGGAATTGGGGAGGTATGGGGTGAGGGCGAAACTGAACGCTCAATTTTAATATTTAACATCTATCTATACTAATATTATAAAGAGGTAAAATTTGTAAGTTTGTATGTAGGGGGTAATCTTTGGAACCGCTGGTCAGATTGCTAAAATTTTTTCACTGATACATAGCCACAATGTTCCTGAATGCTTTAGGCTATGAAACATTACGCTACGATTAAATGGAGCTGAGCAGCCGGTGAAACCGCGCGAGAGTAACGAGTGGTATATAAAACTGTAACACAATGAAATAAACATGTTACACATAGCAACGTGCTGTGACTTTGATCATCACACCAAAATTCTTTTATTTTATCGCAGGTCAGCAAACAAACAAATCACCTGACGTTAAGCAATAGACGCTAGCCAGCGACACTCAAAACAGAAGTTAAGGCTTTCAGAGGTTTTGATAAAATTATGAGTTTATTGAAAATGATGTCTTATGCACGTGAATTAATATAATAATAATAATATATCCGCAAGGCAGCTTGTGTCGAGCTGTTGGGCAGTGGCGACCCCACGGACCTAACTCCCGGGAGGTGCCTTGATCTTCATCTCCGGTTAGTCCTCGTGACGAGCTGGAGAGAAAACTTTTTTTTCTTTTTAAAAAACGTTGCTCCACTTTAGGATTTTCTCCTGTGTTGTGCGTGTATTTACAAACATACAATGTCACATACACATGACACCCAGACCCAAAACAACAATTTGTGGATCACACAAAGTGTTGTTCCGTGCGGGAATCGAACCCGCGACACGTTGTATGGCAGCCAGTTGCCCAGCCACCGCACCAACCGTGCATTCGACCGTGCCGTGTAGAACCGTGCAGTAAACTGATGAAGAACAAGCCCTCCTACCTCATTCTTGCCTTAATTGGCTGGCTTGAGTGGAGATTCGCAAGAATAGGAGTTGAAGGAGACTCGGGGGAAAGATGTATTTCAGTAAGGTGCTGGTAGGGGTCTTGATCGTACTTCCGGGATTGGTCTAATAGCCGTGGGATGCCTCTCCTTCCCCGAGCAGCAGAACGTATGTTGTCTCCGTGTCGCTACATGCTAGCGGCCGTTTCCGGGGGCCCATTAATTGGGTTTGCCAGTCGCCCCCTGCCTGTTTATCCGTATGTAACAATATTGGTCAGGGGCAGGGGCCATAGTATTTCTATAGTTATCATCTACCAATCCATAGCCACCCACACCCATAACCATATAATCTTTTACCATTTTGCACAATAGTCCTGCATCACCGGGGATTG